CCCCCTTTGCCCTGCAGTGCAGTTTGAGAGCCCCGAGCGCTCCCCCAGCCTGTCCCGGCAGCTGCCACGGCCCCCCCGGGCCCCCCCAGGCACCAGGCCGGGCTGCCCCCCCAGCCCCAGGCACGTGGACACCTCGCTGCCCCTGGAGAAGCAGGCGTGAGTCGGGGGGGTGGCCTCTCCAGGGGGTGGCATCATCACCCTGGTGACACCGCAGGGTGTGTGGGCAGCTCTGTGGGGCGCGCGGAGGGTCCCCCACGGGTGGGTGGTCGTGGGGTGGAGGGTGTCCCATGGCATGGCTGGGCCCCATAATGGTGTGGAGGGGCCTCCATGAAGTGGAAGGAGCCCCACGTCACGGGTGGGGCCTCGTGGGGTCGGGTGCCCCACGACAGGGGTGTGTCCCTTGGATGGGGTTGGGTGCCCATGGTGTGGCTGGGTGACCCACGGTGGGGTTGATCTCTTTGATGGGGTTGGGTGCCCGTGCCATGGGTGGCCCACAGTGGGGTTGGTCTCTCTGATGCAGCTGGGTGCCCGTGCCATGGGTTGCTCCATGACTGGGAGGTGCCCCATGGCACAGACAGGTCCCCTTTGGGGTGGGTGCCCCTCACACCGCAGAGGTTGCCCCACGTTACTGACGGATCCATCAGTGGGGTGGGATGTACAGAGGGTGCCCCTGGTGACCCCTGGTGACCCCTGGTGACCCCTGGTGCCCCGTGGTGATGCCCAGCCCCACTCAGGTGGTACCACGGCCCGATCGGGCGGGCGGGCGCGGAGACGCTGCTGGCGCTGTGCCGCGAGGGCAGCTTCCTGGTGCGGGACTGCGAGACCAGCCCCGACGATTACTCACTGTCCCTCCGGTGAGCCTGGGCCTGGGGGACCATGGGGACAGCCCTGGGGGGTGCCCAGGCAGGGGCAGAGGCAGAGCAGGGTGAGCCCACCCGTGTGCTGGCGTGTCCATCACTGTGTCCATGTCCTCCCACGGCCAGGCGGGATGGACCCAGCACCCCTCGCCTGGGGAAGGGGCCCACGGGGGTGCCCTCCTCTGCCCCTGCTCTGGGTAGTGTCCACCTCTCTACCCCCATCCCCATCCTTGTCCCCATCCCTGTGCTGATCTCCATCCCCATCCCTTGCTCTGGTTGGTGCCCCCTATCCCTGTTCCCATCCTTATCCCGACTCCTGTCCCAATCTCCATTCCAGTCTCCATCCTCATTCCAGTCCCTTACTTTGGATGGTGTCCCTCAATGCCCATCCCTATCCCCATCCCTGTCCCAATCCTTGTCTTTGTCCCAGTATCTGTCCCAATCCTCATCCCCATCTCCATCCATGTCCCAATCCCCATCTTTATCCTCTTCCCTGTCCCAATCATCATCTTTGTCCCAGTATCTGTCCCCATCCCTGTCCCAATCCCCATCCCCATCCCCATTGCTGCCCCATCCCCATCCCCACTCCCATCCCTTTCCCTGGCTGTTGTCCCCCCCGCCCCACCCTCATTCCCGTGTTTCCCTCTCTCCCAGGAGCAGCCAGGGCTTCGTGCACGTCAAGCTGACGAGGACGCGGGAGCAGCACTTCACCCTGGGCCGGGCGGGCGCCGCCTTCCCCTCGGTGCCCGCGGCCGTGCGACACTACACGGCGCGGGCCCTGCCCGTGCGTGGGGCGCGGCACCTGGCGCTGCTGTACCCCGTGGCCGTGCAGCCCCTGTGACCCCCCAGTAAAGCCCATGATTGTCACGCAGGGACGGGGACGTTCTGCTCTTCTCTGCTCTGCTCTGCTCTGCTCTGCTCTGCTCACTCTCGGCGCTGCGGGGACCCCCGGGGGAAAAGGGGAGGCCAGAGGGGGGCGAGGTGGTGGCACTGCCAGCGGTGGCACTGCCAGACGTGTCCCAGCCTGGGCACGCTGTGTTAGGGGGTCCTGATCTTGCCGCTGCCAGCAGTGTCCCCTCCTGCTGCCACCACTGGGGCTCCTGATCTCGCCATTGCCACACCAGTGTCCCACCACATGGTCTGCTCGTCCTGGCACTGCCACCGGTGTCCCACCCTGGTCACAGATTGGGGGCTCCCGATCTTGGCACTGCCACCCCCACCCGGCTCCGGGGGTGGTCGTGGTTTCCCGTCCCCCCTAGCACAGGCCCCGGGCTCCGGGTGGATTCCCAGGAATGGGGGAGCTCCGGGATCTGCTGCCCCTTCCCTGTCCCGGCACTGTCCCCGTGCCCACGAGCTGCCCACGTGTGGGGACACGGGAGGGGGACACGGGCTGGCACGGGGGGCGGCGCAGAGGACAAGGAGAGGGGTCCGAGATGCTGCAAGACACGGTTTTTCGGGGGGTGGGGGGTCCTACCGGGGGAGGGTGTGCCCTCTCCCCCGCCGCGATGGGCTGGGGGGCAGCGGGGGGGCCCCGTGACACTGTCCCCACGCTGCCCTCCTTTCCCTGTTGGACCCCCCCACCCCCGAACTACAACTCCCATCGCGCCGCGCGGCCACGCCCATCCCGACCACACCCACGCGAGACCACGCCCACGAAATAAACCACGCCCTCGCACCGCACACTCAACTGGGCGTGGCGGTGGGGGCGTGGTCTGGCGGGGGCGTGTCCGTGGGCGGGGCGGGGGCGCCGCTCCCCCTTTGTTGGTGTCGGCGGGGCCCGAGAGGCGGCGGGGCCGGCCCGGTATGGGCGACCAGGTGGGGCCGGGCCGGGGGCACCGCGGGGGCACCCGCAGGGCACGGGGGAGGAGGAGGAGGAGGAAGGGATGGAGGGAGAGG